GCAAGCTGCAGTTAAAGTCATTTGATCTCATATGAGTTTGCATACCATCAAAACTAATTAATTATAAAACCAACAGAAAACAAAAAGCGATGATGTCTCTGTTTTAAAAGTATTCAAAAGATCGAGAGAGATCCAATGATGTTGCCTTTTTGTGTCTTTTTCATGTCATGTCCCTACAAAAATGAGACCGTAGAGCATCAGAGTATGACAGGAGAACCAAAAAAGTAAAGCGTCTGAAACAGACTTTGTGAGAAACCACCTTGGTCAGAGCTTTCGAGACTTTGTCTTATGGCCAGTAGGAGAGAATTTATCTACTGGTTTACACATGCGTCCAGATCGCGTTTTATAGGGTGGTGCAGCGCTGGAAGTGTTAATTTCTCCCACATAAGGTTCTCCTACAGAAGGTTCACCATTCTGAAAATTCGATTGTTGAGGTTCTTCAACCAATGCGTCTGACCAATTACCCATATCTTCATCCAGCGTTTGAGCCTTGTCCAGCGTCTCATCAAACTCAACTTCTATGTCCAGGTCATCCACATCAAACTCAACTTCCTGGCCCTGAAACTCAACCAATGTGTCTGATCGATCATCACCCACAGTTCTGTCCAGCATCTCATCAAACTCAACTACTCTATCATCACTCAGTGGGCGCACTGAGGCGATGAGATGGTGGGTTGGAGCCTCGAGCCTAGGCGAAACACAAGCCTCGAAGTTATGATAGAGAAGTTGAGTTTGATGAGATGTTGGACAGAACTGTGGGTGATGATCGATCAGACGCATTGGTTGAGTTTCAGGGCCAGGAAGTTGAGTTTGATGTGGATGATCTGGACAGAGAAGTTGAGTTTGATGAGACGCTGGACAAGGCTCAAAGGCTGGACGAAGATATGGGTGATCGATCAGACGCATTGGTTGAAGAACCTCAACAATCGAATTTTCAGAATGGTGAACCTTCTGTGGGAGAACCTTATGTGGGAGAAATTAACACTTTCAGCGCTGCACCACCCTATAAAACGCGATCTGGACGCATGTCTAAACCAGTAGATAAATTCTCTCCTAGTGGCCATAAGACAAAATCTCGAAAGCTCTGACCAAGGTGGTTTCTCACAAAGTCTGTTTCAGACGCTTTACTTTTTTGGTTCTCCTGTCATACTCTGATGCTCTTCGGTCTCATTTTTGTAGGGATATGACATGAAAGAGACACAAAAAGGCAACATCATTGGATCTCTCTCGATCTTTTGAATACTTTTAAAACAGAGACATCATCGCTTTTTGTTTTCTGTTGGTTTTATAATTAATTAGTTTTGATGGTATGCAAACTCATATGAGATCAAATGACTTTAACTGCAG